TGTAATTCCCAAGGAACCTGCAGGCCCTGCAAACAGCCCTGTGGGCTGGCAGATCTCCCCGGACACCGCTGTTCTCCTGAGAATGCTCAGTGGGTCCCAAAGTGGGTCCCAAAGCCTTGGGGGGAACTGGAGGGGACAGACAAAACCATGGAGGAGCTGCTCTGCTGGCATGGGAGAGCTGCTGGCACAGGGATGAGCCAGGAACAGGCTGGGCAAGATCAAGAGCTCTTCCTGCAGGTGGAGCATCAGGAAAAGCTGATTAGAGATGGAGTTTTAAGGAATTGCTCTTGTGATGGAGAGTGCTGCCAGCCTCACCCCACAAAATGCAAACGGCTGAGGACAAGTGGCTCTGTGATCGGCTGGGGGTGGAGGAGGGAAAGGAAGATTGGTCAAAGGAAGAAAGCTCAAATCATGCCCTGGGGAATATTTCAAGTTGTTTTCCTGTTGTTCTGGGGAGCAACAGCTCTCCACCTCCCCCAGGTGATGGCCGTGTCCAGGCCCGGAACTGCAGAAGCAAGGAGCTTTTTGGTGCAGAAAAGGCACTTTCTGGGCTGCCAAGACCTCAGCTTCAGAGCTAAGTGCTTGGTAAATCCCTCTGAATGCCTCCCTGCCTGTGGCAATGTGAGGAGGGTGAAAAGTTCCCGCAGGCCATCCTCCTTCCCAAGCCCAGGAGTCCTCCAGCTTCTTCCCGGTGCCCTTTTGTGCCAGAGGAGTCTAAAGAAAATGATGTTCTCTTTACACTCTTCACCCTGCGGAAAAAAGGTTCCTCCCCATCACTGCTACCACACGACTGCTCTCTGTGACCCCCCCAGGGGCTGCAAACAGCTCAGGGACTTCACCCTCAGCAGGAGAAGTGTTCAAACCCCCCTGGGATGAAGGGATGCGCTGAAGGAATCAGGCAAGGCTGGCACAAGGGGAACCTCTCAACACAGATGGCCAAATGTGCATTTCTTCTCCCAGGGAACCTTGTGCTTCCAGATCATTAAGAAAGAGGATTCAAAGTACCTCTAGACAGGAAAAATAAAGTGAATTAAGAAAATTGGCTTTGAAATATGAACCCATGAAGCATTTACTTCCCTTTCCTCATTTTGCAGTTCCTCATCCCTCCCGAGCAAGACCAGATCATTTCAGAGAAATGGCACTTTCCTACAGCACCCAAATTTCACTTTATAACCAGCATTTCCTGGTCTCTTGGAGAGCTCCCTCTCTGTAAACCATCCAAGGTGGGACTGGGTAAAACTAAAACTAAACTCTTCTCTTCTCTTAAAAATGCTCAGGCCACGATCTTCTCTGTAAACTTTCTGAAACAAGAACTCTTCTGATGGGCAATGAAGAGATTGAAAATTAATTTTAATTTTTTTTTTTTTTTTTTTTTTTTTTTTTTTTTAATTAGAAGACCTGGAAGTATTCCTGAAACTGGCTGCATCAAGCCCCCTTGTTCTAGGGGGGAAAAAAATCCCTTTTTTCCTGAGAAACCACTGTGATGAGCAATTCCTGCAGGGCTTCACCCTGCAGGACAGAAACCTTGATTCCAGCCTGTTTGCTACACCCTGGCCAGGTCCTGAGCAGAAAATTGGACCAACCATCACCTCAGCTTGAGCAGTGGCTGGTGCAGAGCTGAGATGTTCCCAGATCCTGGGTGTGAGAGCCCTCACAGCAATGAAGAGGCCTCTTACATAATGTTGTTTATTTAACAGAAAATGGCCAAAGTCCTTTCTGCTGGGGCAGGAGATAAAAGTGTTTGCACAGAGCTGACAGCAAGAACCCTGCCAGGCTTTGGCCAGGACACACCAGGGCTGATTTATGTGAAAATCCAGCACCACGTGGATTTTCTTCCCTGGTCAAAACACACATTCCTACTCCAAGCAGCAGCTGGAGGTGGAGCACTTCTTTGTGGTGGCAAAAGGTGACTTTGCTGCTGGAAAACACAGACATGGAGAGTTTAGGGAGGGCAGGTTGAATGGAAAGGCAGCAAAATTGGAGTTTCTGAAATCAAAATCCTACACAGGTCACTGAGTGACAGCTGAGCTGAAGGGATACCTGGCAAATAAAATCAAAATGTTGTCCTGGGGTGCCTTGCCTTTCCTTCCCTACCCTCCCTTGCCTGGCCCCAAGAGCAAGAACTCTCCTGCCCTTCTGAAAACCAAGTCATGGTGGCTTTTTGCTGCTAATAACTTATGGCCAGACATGTGAACACCCCAAAATTCCCCAGGTGATGTGCCTTAAATCTATCCAGGGGTTAAAGCTTCACCACAAATAGAGAATATTTTGCCATCCCTTGTCAGAAGCTGCAGCAGCATCCCCAGGGACAGGGCACTTCCCAGGGATGTGGGAGAGCCCTGGGAAGCATTGCTCCCGGGGAGGGCCAAGCAGCACATGCCAAGCTAAAAAGCTCTGGCACAAAACTGGGAAAACCTCAAAAACAGCAATGCAGACTTGGGCAGACCCAAATTCAGCCCCACTGGGGTTTTTTGTGGGGGAGAAAATGGTCATAAAATGAATAAGGTGGGTTGCTCTGTGTCCACCCATGCCAGCAGGGGCTGAGCTGCTGCTGCTGTTTTTTGGGAGCCCTGTCTGCTCCCAAACCTTGCAACACCTGCTCCTTCCATCATCTCGGAATCACAGAATATCCTGATCTGGGAGAGACCCCCAAGGACCATCAAAATCCAAATCCTGGTCCTGCAGAGTGCCTGAGAGTGGTGTCCAAACATTTATTGATTTAGACAAAGGGTGCCGTGCCCAAATCCTGGCTCTCACTGGCATTCCCTGCCCAACCTGCAGCACACATGGGCAGCCAGGGGCAGGAGAGGCATTGAGAGGATGCAAAAACAAACCACAGATCCTTCTGGCAAACATTTGTGGCCAGTAGCTGATGAGCTGGATGGGAGAAGCTGCCACACCAGAAATTTGTGGCTTCTCTTTGGGCAGTGCTCTCACCCGCTGGCACCAGGAAGAGAGGGAAGCTGATGGGATTGATCTGTCCAGAGCACAGGAAAGCAAAGGGATCACTGCCTTTGCTCTCATGCTCCTCCACCACCTCCCATCCCTGTATTTATGGGTGTCAAACCTTGCCCATGTTCCCGTATCCAGGAGGAGAAAGAACACCAAGCTGTGTCCTGAGGAAAAGCAGGAGGGGGAAGTTGATGGGATTGATCTTTCCAGAGCACAGGAGAGCAGAAGGATCACTGTCCTTGTTCTCGTGCTCCTCCACCACCTCATATCCCTGTATTTATGACTGTCAAACCTTCTCCACGTTCCAGTATCCAGATGGATCTCGGCAACATCAGTGCCCACCCTCCTGGCAGAGATCCTGGTGTGCCCAGCTTTCTCCACCTTGAACCTTCCTTTTCCAGCCTTTTCTGGAGCAGATCCCTCTTCCCACTTTCAGCCTTCTGGCACCTGCACTGGCCTGTCCTGGTTTGTCCCTCCACACCCAAACCTGGCTCTGCCTGTCCCCTAAAGACACCCTCAGTGCTCAGCTGAGGCCACAGAGGATGAGATCCATGAGTTCTGTGGGATTGGGGCAGCACAATGCCAGATTCCAGCTTTTACAGCCTTCCAGTTTGCTGTGCTCACCTCTCTGATGGGCACCAAGCAAAGAGGAGCGGCGGGAGCTGGGAGGGAGAGGCAACAGCGCACCAGTGCTCAGGGCAGGGAATCACTGAGGTGGTGGTTCAGCCTCTAACTGGGACAAGAATGTCACTGGAAGTCACCCAAGGATCCAGCCCAGGAACACAAAGCTCACAGGCCAAGTGATGGCAGAGGAGCCCCAGCAGCCCTGGCTGCTTTCCCCAGACAGCAGAGGCTGAGGGATGGCTGTAGGTGGATCTTACCTGAGGTTTGGGGGGGAACACAGAGAAAATCTGGGATTCTGGCCATCAGCACCATGTCCCGACCCCAAGCCACGTCCCATCCCACCCAGCCAAGGCAGCACAAGCTCCACAGCCTGGACTGAGCCAATGCACAGCAGTTCTGTCCCAAACCCACCCCTGGCCTCCCTCCTCCAGAGCCAGCAGCCCCCATTCCCAGGCTCCCTTCCCGAGGCAGCAGCAGGCCCTGCCCGAGCACAGATGGGACCGCGAGGAGCCAGAGCCATGCAGAAAGTCAGACACCACAAGGCAGGATTGAGCAGATTCCATTTAATGTCATGTGCATATATATCCATACATTTACTTATGTCAATGGTTCGGATGTGCGTGATGCCAGGTCTTGAAAAATCTACTCCTCGGGTTACGTCTGGGAGCGCCAACTCTCTCAAAAATCAGCTCAAAAACCAGCTGGGCTGGGCTTGGGCTGTTGAAAAACCAACTTTTAGCCCAAAAAGCCATGAATTGAAGGCAGAGCTGGCAGAGCTGAGCCCTGAATTCCCACCCAGCTCTGCAAATGCTGTTGCAAAGGGCTTGGCCACGGAACCCCTCCCTCCTTCCCTCCCTCCCAGGGGGCAGAACTGATAAGGAACGAGCTGCCCCTGGTCAGCATCCCCAGGCAGAGCAGCAGAAGCAGCACCCCACCAGCTCTCCAGGGTTTTGGCCAAGGCTGAGAAACAGGGCAGAGAGGCAGAGATAAAACATTCCCAACAAAAAGAAAAAAAAAAAAAAAAAAAAAAAAAAGGAAAGGAGGAAAAAAAAGTCACTTTCACCACCACGGACGCGCAGAAATTGGCTTCTCTTCTCTTTTTTTTCTGGTGTCCAGGGGCCAGCACTGGCAGCTCCTGGGGGAAGGGATGCCCACCCTGCCCTGTGCTGCATCCCAGCAGTTGCAGGGTAGATTTTTCAAGGCCTGGAGATGGCTCCCAGGAAGGCTCCTCCCGCCCGCTCGGCATCGATTGCATAGCATTTATTTCACATAAGGCACTGTTTTGCCCAACAGCAATTCCACATCAATGCAGTTTCCATACAGGATGGCCTACAGTGCAATAACATCAACTTAAAGGCAAGGTTTGGAAGAATAAACCCAGCTTTAAATTGCAACTGAATATTAAGAAGATAAGGGAAACTACATTTTTCAAAAGCCTTTTTTATTTTCCTTCACCATTGTTGTTTTACAATACAAATATCACCTTGTGAATACACAAAAAACCTACAGAAGATAACTCTGCTTCACGTAAAATACAGAATGGATATATATATATATATATTTATATATATATTTTTCTCTTCTTCATTCTTTTTTTTATTTTTATAAAAACTATTTTTGTTCTGCACATTGGCAAGTTTAGGATAGGAGACTTCCCCAAACATACAGTATGTATGGTAGGAGTGGAAACTTAGAATTACATGCAGTTTCTGCACAAATATTTTAAAGAAATAGATTATCTTTGTTGTTTTTCAACAACACTCCGACAAGGGCATGGAGAAACCATTCATAGTTCACTCAGTGATCGTTTGTAAAATTCTTAAAAAACAGGAGTTCATGGCTGTTTTGCTTTTTAAAACCCAGCTACCAAGTAGACAATAAAGTGATACTTTTTTAGCTTGACCTGCCCACAATGTGTGAGCAAGGTCGGACCCTTTTTTATTTGGTGGGGTGGGAGGCTTTTCCCTACACGTGGCAATTTCAACATTATAAGCAAATTTCCAGTTTAATTTAGCTATAAATGCAAAAAATTAGTAATTATACAGTATATATAATTCTGCTTTCATGGAATACTTTATTTTAAATAAAAACATTTAAGACTGCCTACTGACCATACAATCAAGACAAGAAAGGCACTAGAAACATAGACAAATCTCTCTCTCTCCCAAGAAGCATTTTCTTTAAATTTTTTTAACTCTCTATTCTCTGACATGTAAAAATCTTTTTAAATTTAAATTTTTTTCATACACATTTTGAAAAATAAAGTTAGGAAATACTTAGAAAATCACTTTACATTTTTTCTCTCTTTTTTTTTTTTTTTTGTTTTTTTTTTCTTTTTTTTTTTTTTTTAATTTTTGCACTTTTTTGACACAGTCACTGCAGAATCTACAAAATCAGGATTTACCAAACCTTTCTGTGTCTATCATCTTATTCGTAGCGCGGTGCAACAGGTAGAAAGATTTCTTGATTTCACCCAAGGCAGATATTTAGAAACCTTCATATAGTCATTTGCTAGAAAATGGCTTACAGCCCAATCTTTGGGGCAAGAGATATGAAAAGTATGTTTTCCCAAGAAAATAATATGCTTTGTTCCCAGACGTGACTGGAAAGACCAGAACTCATGATATAAAAGCTTTTCATCTATGTTGTCGCATCATATACAAAGGAACATGGTGATGGGCAAATGCAAATCCCAACTCTATCAACAAGAAATGTATAACAGTGCATGATCAGTTAAATTCTCTTTATTGTTGTCCAACGCAGATCCTTTGGAGAGAAAAAAAGATCACAGTGCTTACCAGGTAACTGAACAGGTCAGGTCCAGGGAGCTGCTAAAGAAAGGGTTAGGGAGCGGTGGATTTTTGTTTATGGCATCTTCTCTTGGAGTTGTGAGCACTTGGGACAGGTCCTTTCGGGGCTCTGGTGACACTGTTACGTGTCACTCACCAGGCGGCTGTACTTGACCTGCCGGCCCCGCGCCAGCGCCGGACACCGCAGGGGCCAGTGGTAGGAGCGAGGTACAATTCCTTGGACATTCTTCTCAAAGTACTGGAAGGGCTTGTACCACCAGACCCTTGCAAGGAGGTTCGTTTGGGAAGCTTCTTTTAGCACCTGCAGGGGGAGGAGGACAAAAAGAGGATTGCTGAAGGGCAGGTCCTTTATTCGCACCACTTCACTCGCCGCCGTTCCTCCTTGCTCTCCTGCTTCCTGCTGCTCCCAAAATCTCACCTCCCCGACAGATCCCAGCCTTCCTGCACACACCAAACCTGCTCAGCCCTGCCTACAGGACCCCAGTTGTTTGATGGGCCCACAGGAAAGGAATGAGTGGCCCAAGGATGGGTGTCTGCTCTCCTTTGGGGATGAAAACGCCATCCCAAAGCAGGATGTTCTGTAGGGATGTCCCAGGTGGCTCTGTAAGTGCCTCTGGAATTCCATGGGGATCAGGAATCACTTTGGGGCCTGGCTGTGTGCCTGTGGAGCTATAGGAATACATCACACAGGACTCCATTTTCTTCATGGAGGAAAAAGCCCATTCTTTATTCACACAACTCCTTTTTATACCGTTTTACAGACCTCCTGTGTGACTCCAATTGGTCAGTAGCTCTCTTTAGTAACAAGTTGTTATTCTGTATTGATTGGTCACTCAAACTCTCAGTGTGTATGTGCAGGAAAAGTTGTTTATGAGAGATAGAAAAATTTTTTCAGATAGAAAAATGGAAACTATCTGTATCTGTATTTTTCTATCTGTATAAACTGTGTAAAAACAGTTTATACAGGTGCTGGTTGTTTTTCACCCAGGAATAGATTGTTATGCTAACAAACTGCTCATCCCAGGATTGCTTTCACGTGGGAACTTGCAAAAGACTAGCCTGACTTAGAAGAAATGACAGGCCAGCCAGAGCAGGCTTGATTTTATAAGGCTTTTCTTTATAATTTCTCTACCTTACTGCAACATGGAGCCATGAGCAGGGCACGTCCCAACCCATCTGGAGATCAGAACCCTGCCCTGCCCTCCACACACTCCCAGACTGCTCCCACCTAGCTTTTGCTTCTCTCAGCCACGAGCAAGCCCCAGCCCACAGACACACAGAGCAGGCAGGCCCCAAGGGAATTATCCAACTCCCCCCGTGCTGCCCATTATCCATGCCAGAGCCAGGGATCCCTGTATCCACCCCCCAAAGGGAACACACAAGCACAGGGCTTGTACACTGAGCTTCATCTCCAGGTCAAGCTCAGGTGTCAAATAAATCCACTGTTGCTTTTAATTTTAAGGCCAGGCACAAGCCCCAGCATGAGGAAGGAGAGAGCACCACACCAGTGTGTGCTCAGGGAAGGAGCCAGGGACTGGCATTTCCCAACATCCTGGCAGCTCAGGGCAGCAGTGCTGAGCCACCTCCCCAGGCACATCAGGTGGCAGAACAGGAAGATTTCCACACCAAAGCTCTGCTGAAGCAATTCCTCAGCAGGACTGGGGGCACTCCTGACTCCAGCACTTGCAGCTTGGAAGTACCACTGCTCTGAGAGCCCAGGAGCAGAGTGAAAGCATGGAATCCTCTGGATTGTGTGTGGAATCCTCAGCTCTGGTGTGACAAGAGCTGCAGAGCATGGGCACAGAACACAGTGGCTCCCAAGCTGACTGAACATCAAAGGGCACCTAATCTGCAGTCAGGCACTTGGCCAGAAGTGCACCACAAGGCCTGGCTGTGGTGTGTTGCTTCAGGCAGCACCAGAGCAGTGGAATAAGGAGATGTGACCATGACCTTTAGGGCTCCTTCCAGCCCATGATGATTCTGTGATAGGATCTAAAAAACTGCACTGTCACAATATATATTCCTCTTCTACCATTGTAGGAGATCTTTATTACACATCATTAACAGCATGTGCCACAGATAAGCAAAAGATCTTTGACCACGAGCACAGAAAATATTTGGGCACCAATATGCTGCTACAGACCTAAAAATGTCTCTTAACTCCCTCGTCCACTATCCGTGGCAAAAAACTTGTGCATTTCCTCTCAGAGAATCATGGAACGTGCAGAGCTGGAAGGGACCCACAGGGATCATGGATCCAGCCTCTGTTCCTGCCCAGACGCCGCAACAACCCCACCCTGGGCATCCCTGGAGTGCTGTCCAAGCTCTCCTGGACCTCTGGCAGCCTCGGGGCTGTGCCCATCCCCTGGGGAGCCTGGGCAGTGCCCAGCACCTCTGGGGGAAAAACCTTTCCTGATCTCCAGCCTGACCCTGCCCTGGCACAGCAGAGGTTTCACTTCCCTCAGCAGTGTCAGCTCCTCCCTGATGTTCCAGTTCACCAGCCAGGAGAACTCTCCACCCCCTGGAAACACTATCAAAAACCAGTTTCTTTTTGGCTGAGGCCTCCTCCTGTACCTCGAGAGATCTGTGGCACAAGCCACAGAACACAGGAAAACCCCAGCTGGCCTCAACAACCAAACTAAACAAAACCAAGGCAAAAGAATCTAAATGGTTTGTTGTTCTGTCACAAACGTGACCACCTGGCCCAAATTCAGAAGACTTCAAAAAACTGAGGTTACCCAGGAGTGGGAGAGCCCTGCCTGCCTTTGGGAAGCCCTTCCCATATTTTTGTGGTCAAGAACCCAAAGAATGATGCCTCTTTCTTCCCTGCAAACCCAACAGCTGGGAGGAAGAGAGGGACTCTCCACAGGACATGGGTGAGCCTGGATATTCTCACCCCCCCAGGCTAGAGCAGGAGCATCCAAGGAGTGGGAGGAACTCACTTGCTGGTTGGCCATTGTGTGGTACCACCAGAATAGCCTTGTAGTGATGTAGTAAGCCACCACCACGTCCACAGTGTAGTGGTCATGAGCAAGGAGGATGCAGAACATCCCCACCATGCTGAGCGCCCAGCAGAGCCAGTGGTACCACCAGAGTCGCCGTGGGGAATCTGCAAAGAAGCACAAGCAGGGGTTACTCTCCCAAGTGGAAGCTTATCAGCACTATTGCTGTGATTAGCAGAGGTCATGGACTGCAATCCTGGCTGACACAGAGATGCCTGTGCTGAGATTAAGAGCAGGAATGCTGAGATCACAAAATAAGTATCACTCTCTTAAGGTGTAACTTAAAATTGTACTCAGGGGTAATGAGATCCTTGGAAATGAGAAAGATATAATATACCCTGGCCAGTCAAACCAACCTGCTTGTGTTTAGACTGGATTTTGGGAAGGAATTGTTCCCTGGGAGGGTGGGGAGGCACTGGTTCAGATTCCCAGAGCAGCTGTGGCTGCCCCTGGATCCCTGGCAGTGCCTAAGGCCAGGCTGGACGGGGCTTGGAGCAGCCTGGGACAGTGGAAGGTGTCCCTGCCATGACAGGGGGTGGGATGAGATGGCTTTTAGGTCCCTCACAACCCAAACCCTTACAATCCCTCTGGTGAAGAATTTTCCCCTAATACCCAGCGTGAGGCCGTTTCCTCTCACCATGGAACACGCAGGTATTTTAACTGGAACTGTGCTCATGAGCACAATAGAAAGCCCTCAGTCAGGAAGGAAGCACCCAGCAGGAGGGCAGCAGGGCACTCACACTCTTTGATGAACAGGTAGGTGAGGGTTAGGATGACGGTGTGGCCGCTGTACAGGTAGTCCCCACACATGTTGTGGGAGCCCGTGATGGACAAGCCTCCGCCAGCAATCAACTTCATTATCCTTCGCAGGTGGGATTCCCAGTCTCCAAAGAGCTGGTGGGACAGCAAAACACAAAAGCACAGTAAAATATCACAGCTCAAGCAATGGTTTTAAGCAGCAATTTGGCCTTTCAGTTCTCTATTGTATTTGCAGGGACCCCCATGTCAGGGAAGAATGATGAATCTGACTCCATGTTCTCAGAAGGCCAATTTATTACTTTATAATACTATATTATATTAAAGAATACTATACTAACTATACTAAAGAATACAAAAAGGATACCTACTAAATGCTCAAAAGCTAATAATGAAAACTCATTACTCTTTCCAGAGTCTTGACACAGCTTGGCCCTAATTGGCCAGAGAGTGGAAAAAACTCACAGCAGAACCCAATGAAACAATCACCTGTGGGTAAACAACCTCCAAACACATTCCACATGTGAGCACAACACAGGAGAAGCAAATGAGAAAAGAATTGTTTTCCTTTTCTCTGAGGCTTCTCAGCTTCTCAGGAGAAAAATCCTGGGCGAAGGGATTTTTCAGAGAATGTGAATGCCACATTCTCCTCCCCTTCTGCTTTGATCCACAAGATCAATCAGCAGATAAATAAATCCTCAGCCTTTCCCAAAAGCTGACAGCACATTTCCAGTAGGAAAAAGACTGGAAATGAGACACGAGTGTTTTGATGCTTTGCACCTCTTGTAGCTGGTGCTCAGGTGAGATTTGCCTTCTGTTCAGAGGCAGCACACTCTAAAATAAATGAGGTTTAATTTAGTTTATGTTGTTGGTAACAGCACAGGCCCTACTGGTGATCCTCCAACAGAAACCGGGAGGAACTGCCCAGACTGAACAGCCAGCTGCCAAAGTCAGGATCTGATGGACACAAGAGCATCTCACTCCAAACCCCAAGGCCTTGGAAAAGTCTGTTAGATTATTTCTTCCTGCTTCCCACTCCAACAGAAACATGTGTGCTGTCTGTCAGAGCACGGGGCCAGACTTGTGCTTTGAATCCACAGCAGCACAAACAGGGATCTCCCTCCACAGCCAGATTTGCTCTGACCCACCCCCAACCACTGGCTCACAGAGCATTCCTGGAAAAGCTTCAGTTTGCCCAAGGAAAGCCAAATCCCAGCAAACCAATTCCTTCCCAGAGGACACTCTGCTCCCTCTCCCGAGTGATCAAGGGCAGCTGGCACTGCCCAAGACTTTTGCTGCTCTCAGCTCTTAGCCAAGGCCAAATATTAAACAAATCCACAAAAAAAGTATGCCATGGGACAACCAGGATGTGTGGAGAACCTCTGGCACCCATCAGGAAGCAGGGACTAATGGATCAATATACACCTGTGCTGCATCCTCACCTCATTTTATGGTGTTTGAAAATCCATGGAAACCACTACACTGTCAGAAGGAAACACAGACTCCCCCCAGGCTGGCCATTAAGTTTTTAAGATTTTAAGATTTTAAATCTTGGCCTTGCTTTAAGAAGTGGAAATTAATAATTTCTGACCGAGTGGAGCATGTTCTTTGCAGGAATTAAACACTTCCTGCTAACAGTTGCTCACAAACACTAAACTGCTCCCCAAAGCCCACTTTTCACAATCACACAGAACTCAATAAGGTGTTGAGAGGTTATTCTTTTCCCACCAGTACATTTAGGGCTTTCAAGAAAACTCCTTAATCTTATCAGGGCCCTCAGCTTGTCTCTACTTGAGTAATGAGAAGGATTTGCCAACACCATAAATTCCCCAAATTCCCCAAACAGGCAGATTTATTCACTTTAGCCCATAAATACCTGTGTTCTCTCTTTTTTAATTTCATAGCAGCAGGCTGTTCAAGCACAGTGCTGAATCCTCTCCCACTCACTTCTTTCCAAAATCCCTCCAAAAACCACAAAGGTTCTGCCTTGGCTGGACTTCCCTGAGGAACCAAAGGTTTGTTTGGATGTGCCAATCCTCACCAAAACAACGACAGCACGTGGATCAAGTCCAATCAGGATTTTACTGCCTGGACCTCAGTGATTTTACAACCTGCCAGCTGATTTATGGCTGTGCTTGTGCCCTTTCTCCTGCTTCAACGGCGTCACTGCACAACCAGCCCCAGGAATTGCAGAAAGGATCAGGATTCCAGCAATGCTGTAGTGACATGAGGTGGATGAAACACCAGCAGCTCTGTCCCATCTCCACCCTGAGCACGTGAATTACCCTTCCAGGCTGACCACAAGGGTCAACACCTCTGCCCCAGTAGCCTGGTTTCAGCCACGGCTTTCACAAGCCTAATTTATCTCTGGGAGTCAGGGCTGGACTGGGGAGGAGGTGAGAAGTCCTTGTGCTAACAGAATTGCAAAAATATGTGCAGCAGGCAGCCTTAGGAAAGTCCCTCTGGGCCATTTTCAACCACGAATCATATTTGGATTTGACACACTGAGGTGTGTATTTATTTAGAAATCAGTGACTCACACATGGCAAAGGTTGCACGTTGCTTCAACAGCTTCAGTGGGGACAGGAACACGCTGATCATGCAAATTAGTTGAAAATGCCACAGAATTTGGGTAGCTCAGTGCTTTGAAAAGGGTGGGAATCCCTGCACTGCCCCAAGCACCTCCACTGAGAGGGCAGCCAGTGACATGCAGAAGGGAGTCCCTGTCACACCAAACCAGCGCTCTCAAATTAAAATTATAGAGTGGTTTAGGCTGGTTTGGGCTTAAAGTTCATCCCATTCCACCCCTGCCCTGGGCAGGGACACCTTCCACTGTCCCAGGCTGCTCCAAGCCCCAGTGTCCACCCCGGCCTTGGGCACTGCCAGGGATCCAGGGGCAGCCACAGCTGCTCTGGACACCCGGTGCCAGGGCCTGCCCTCCCTGCCAGGGAACAATTCCTAATTCCCAATATCCCATCTATCCCTGCACTCTGGCATTCTGAACCCATTCCCTGTGTCCTGTGCCTCCAGTTCCTGTTGCAGGGTCCCTCTGCAGCTCCCCTGTGTCCCTTCAGGTCCTGGAAGGAGCTGTGAGGTCTCCACACACCCTTCCCTTCTCCAGGCTGAGCATTCCCAGCTCTCCCAGCCTGGCTCCACAGAGAAGATGCTCCAGACCCCTCAGCATCTCCATGGCCTCCTCTGGACCTGCTCCAACAGTTCCATGCCCTCCTTATGCTGGGGGCACCAGAACTGTGCACAGAATTCTGAGGGGGCTCTCACCAGAGCAGGGCACAGGGGCAGAATCCCCTCCCTTAGTAACATTTACTGAGAAAGCAGTTTTGGGAAGAGGAGGATGAGGGGGAAACAGGCAGATAAGGAGGGATTTACCTTTGGAGAACACTTGAAATGCATTCCAGGTACTGGGAGTGTAGTCACGTACATGGTAATACACCGGTACAGGTATAGTGTGCCAACAATACAGAAAAATCTTCTGCTAATTATAGACCTGGCAGGGAGAAAAAACAGGCACAAATAAGGAGGTGCTGAAGGCAAACAAAATCCACAAAGGTAAATAAAACAAAGCAGCAGCTGGTTTCTCCTGATGCTTTGGAAACTCGTGACACTATCGGCTTACACCTGGGAATGCTGAACTACTCCACAAATATTCCCACGCCTTCCAGGCCAGGAACACAGGAGCAACACAACTCACACTGCCTTTGAAGGTGAATATGGAAAATCTAAGGATTAGGAGGCCAAAGCCTGTGCAGATTGGGTGCTGAAGACATTAAAGGGGATTTCATGCCCCACACCCCTCCATTAGCTGCGGCCAGTCACTGATTTCCTATTCGAGGCAGGGGATAAAGTTACAGGATTTTCATTGTGAGATGAAAAGGACTAAGTTTATTTCAGCTGACACACAAGTTAGTGATTACAAAGGGTCTCCTGTATAACCCAGAGGAGTGAGAGAACACATCTTTCCTGTGCAGCATTATAAAGGAAGCAGTTCACATCAGCAAGGAAAGCTCCCCAGTAAAAATGCAGAGCTGCCCTGGCTGCAGGACAGGGTGTTTGCAGGGAAGCCACTCAGCAGCCACAGCTGCAGAGACACTGATTAGTGAGGGCTGATGCTCACAGAGAGGGCAGATGCAGATCTGGGGTACTGTGAGGTGCTTCTGCAAAACCAGCACGAGCACCCGGGGTACAGGGTGGGCTCAGGAGGGACAGCCAGCCCCAGAACTGCCCCCCTGGGGTAACACCTCAAAGAAAAACAATTAAACCTCTCCTGGCACAACCACCAGGAGAGGAGCAACCTCTGGAAAGATCCTTAGGAGAGATCACTGCCAGGGTTACAGAAACTGGGGGTGAATCCAACTACAGCAATGACCCTTTGTGTGCCACTGGCTACAAATCCTGTGGGTTTGGTTCATTTTAAATCACTGCTCTTTGCACTAATGGCCATTTCAAGCTGCAGGTTCTGGCATTCCCAGAATCCAAGAACAATCTGGATTGGAAGAAACCTTCAAGATCATATCATTCCACCCCCTGCCATGTCAGGGACACCTTCCACCATCCCAGGCTGCTCCAAGTCCCAGTGTCCAGCCTGGCCTTGGGCACTGCCAGGGATCCAGGGCCTGCCTACCCTGCCAGGGAACAATTCCTTCCCAATATTCCATCCATCCCTGTCCTCTGGCAGTGGGAAGGCATTCCCTGTGTCCTGTCCCTCCAGGCCCTTCCAAAGAACCTCTCTCCTTCTTTCTTTGAGGTTCCCTTAAGGCACTGGAATTCAGTTGTTGCTATTTTGCTTACTTTCAAAAAAATAATACTCCTATCCAGCTGAGCTCTTTCAAAATTGGCCACCTTTTATATTGTTCAGTGCTTTTGGCATGGTTACTAAACTGGAGTGCTCCACTTTTGGAGGAGTATGAGTCTGCAGTGCCAGATCAGCAACACCTTGAGTGCCTTGATTTATCAGGAAAAATTCAACTCTTGCAGGCTAAACACATTTTGCTGTGGAGTACTACTCCCTGCTGTAACATAGTATTCCAGACTTTCTACTTCCCTCTCCTGGTGTAAACATGGGCAAAGCTGTGAGTTAAGAATGACAATTATTAATCTTGTTCCACTAACTGAAATTTAAGTGTGGAGGGCACCACTCCAGTAGAGCAGGGGTTCTCCTCTGCAGAATTTTTCCTCTCATATCTCACCCTTGTGGCTTTTAGAACCAGACATGAACCTGCTTTTTTCTTTTTAACATAAAGGCAAACAGGGGGTTGGGGATTAAAGGCTGAGCAACACTATATTCTGAGAGACCAAAGAAGCATTTCTCCAAGCACTGAATTTCTTTTTTTAATTAAAACTACCACTTGATTTTGCTGGATTTGGCATATTTTAACTTGGGAAAATCTGAGAGAACTCTGCACTGTAATATAAAATAAAAATAAATGCAAGAAGCCTCGTATTTCCCTTTCCCTCAGGAGGATTTGTGTGAGTGTGAGACTCAGAACCAGCCAGTAAGTACAACCTCCACACTTATTCCCGGCCCAGAGAACTCCATCCCAGCTCTGCAGACCTCAGCAGCGTCCTTCAGCCCCATGAGCCAAACACATGGCCAATCCTGGCACTGTGCTTCTCCCACAGCATCTGGGAATGCTTCCCAGGGAAGTTCACCTCCCTCAGCAGCTTTCTTGAGCTCCAGAATGGCCAGCCAGACCTGCTCCTGTCTTCTGGAGAGACATCAGCCCAATCCCATGCCATGGACTGCATTAGAATCATGGAATCACACAATGTTTGCCTTGGAAAGGACCTTAAAGCCCTTCCACCCCTGCCATGGGCAGGGACACCTTCCACTATCCCAGGTTGCTCCAAGCCTTGTCCAACCTGGCCCTGGACACCTCCAGGGATGAGGAAGCAGAAGTGAGGAAGGCCCATGTGGCCCAACGCCCTCCCTTTATTCCTGAATTAGGTTTCAGAGGGAGGGGATAACCCCACCACAAAAGGGATTCAGCTTTTCTGTAGCACTGAGTCACCACCCCTATGGTGTGCCCCATCCAAAACCACAAGAACAAGGTCCTCCACATGAAGCCACCTCGCTGGGCTCCTGTTCCTGCCAGCACCTCTCCTGCTCTTCCCTTTCTCCTGCTCTTCTCTTTCTGCTGCTTAGCCACAGCTTGGGCCTCTGGGACCTTGATCCCTCTGCTCAGGGATAGAAAAGAGGGATTTTGGTCCTTGAAACATTCCATGATCAGTGCATAGACTGACCAAGCTCTGGGACTCCCTGGCATCTTCCCCTAACACCAGAAAAGGCCTTTCCAAAGGGGACTTCCATGGCAGGGGGTTGGAATGGGATGACCTTTAGGGTCCCTTCCAGCCCCTAATATTGTGTGAATCTGTAACATAAATAAAAACAAACACCCCAAAGCAAATGGGGACACGGTAAGGGGAAACCTTCACATCTACCAGTGACACCAATACATGTATGTTACCATCAACCCACATCTCACTGCTTCAAAACTTCCAAGGATTCTGCTGTTCCTCACCTACAGGCTCTGCTCAGCTCCACCACAGGATGTTTGATCCCTGGTATGGCACTATTAACCCCACATCCCCTTCTTGAGGGCAATCCCACACCACCCTCCTCTAGCTGTTTCCCTTGTTTAGAATCATGGAATATGCTGAGCTGGAAGGGACCCACAAGAATCACTGATCCAGCTCCTGTCCCTGCACAGATACCTCAATAATCCCACCATGTGCACCCTGGGAGCATTGCACAAATGCTCCTGCAGCTCTGGCAGCCTCCGGGCTGTGCCCATTCCCTGGGGAAACTGGGCAGTGCCCAGCACCCTCTGGGGGAAGAACCTTTCCCTAAAATCCAACCTAAAACCTCCTGGCACAGCTCCAGCCATTCCCTTGGGTCCAGGTTCACAAGAGCATGTGCTCCCTCAGAACAAACAGTGAGTTCAGAACATCATTTCATCCAATCCACGGCTTTTCACCCATGAAAAAGGTTTGAGTTAACCACGCAGGCAAACAAGAGCAGGGGCATTGCCCAGTTTCTCAGGGAACATGTGGAGCTCTGCCTTCTGCACAAGCAGCTCACACTGCGTGCTACCTCACCTTTGAAAACTGAGATAAGAAGATCACAAGAAGCTTCATTTTGTTTGGGTGCAAACCAGCATCTGCCCTCCAAAAGCTGTCAGAAGCACGCAAGTTTTGAAAAGGTTTTACTTACTTGTATTTTAAGAGCAGCCACTGAACAAACCACAGTCCTACAAGGATCATGCCGTTGATTTCACAAATAGAAAAAGCCCATTGCACCCGATCAAAGCGATCAAAAAATGCATCTGGGAGGGGAGGCTGCACCTCCTTGGGAGGCACTCGTTCATGAACCACCGAGATAGTCACCGTGGTGAAGACGAAACAAAAAAGTGCATAAATGAAAGCCAGGAAAGTCTTGCCCCACTCCATGGGATACTGCGAGCGCTCCGGCTCCGGCATGGGGATCTTGATCATCTCCTTCTTGAACCCGTTGGGGACCCCATTGAGCTTGAGCGCGGCGCCGAAGCCGTTCTGGCGCGCGGCGTCGCTGGCGCGCACGTGCCCGTTGGCGTGGCCGTTCTTGTGAGCCTCCATGTGGTGAGCCATCTTCAGCCCCTCGATCATGTTCAACAGCCGCTGCCCGCTGTCGGAAGACACCCGGCACAGAGGGGATTTCTTGAAATCCTCCTCCGTCAGGTTGATGAGGTCCCGCCCGGTGAAGTTCTTCAGGGGCTCACAGTACTCCGGCACGGCATTGTCCGTCAGCCAGCTGGTCACCTCCTCGGGTGACCACAGCACCACTTCTTTCATCTCGCCAGGGACGGTGGCACATGGGTTTTAAAAAAGTGGGCAGCAGTCACTGAGGCTCCAGCGTGGTGGGAAGCTCCTCCTTGGCTTCATCTTGTCCCTGGAATGGGTTTGGCCAGAGCGAGAGCCTGTCCCTGCCCAGCCGACACCAGCGTGCGGCCAGCATAGGAAACACTCTACTTCATCTTCGTGCTGGCATTCTTCTTCCTGGGGAGGGGGACAAAAACACAGAACCAGGCATTAGCACGGCAGTTAGCCTGCAGGTCATGGCCAAAGCCAAAATTCCTGCACCAAACCAGCTCTGCTTGGGATGGACAACAGACTCTGGAGGGAAAAGAGCAGCAGATTTGAGCTCCAGCCTTGTACACACAGCACTGTCCTTCCCAAGCTCGCTGTTGGTTTCTTAAAAGATTCAACACCACTTTGCTGTTGTAGGAAGCTTCCCTCCTGCTCTGTATTTGTTACATTTTCCATTTCAATGCTCTAGGCCATGAGCAGCACCCAAACTCCTCTTACAATCATCATACTCATGGATTTAAGGAGCTACAGAGCAAATGTTTGATGTTATTTGCAGTAGAAACCTCTTCTACCCCTTATAGACTGATACCTTAATGGAATGTGTAGCACCAGTGATTGAATACAAAACCTGTTTTTCATTCTGCAAGGCAAAAATCATGAAGTCACAGAATCCCAGACTGGTTTGGGTTGGAAAGGACCTTAAAGCTCATCCCATTCCACCCCCTGCCATGGGCAGGGACACCTTCCATTAGACCAGCTTGCTCCAAGCCCCATCCAACCCACCCTAGAACTCCTCCAGGTGCCACATATAGTTATCAACACTAAAAAAATGACGTAAGTAAGCAAGGATTCTACTCTCTGGGCCAAAAGAGCAGCAGGAAAATCAATAATCAAGCAGATTAGCCTGAAAATAAACTGAAGCATTTAGGTTTACAAGTATTTAGGAGCTCTGTGAGGTAAATTTGACTGTTACCAGTGTATACTGCTCCAATTCAAAGAAATGTTGTCTACCAGAGACAGAAAAAAAGGAACCAGGAGAAATGTTTAATAAAAAAAAAAAAAAAAAAAAAAAGAGGAACTAGGTAAGAAACTTCTATACTCATTGAATTGCAGAAATAGCTTAGAAAAGCTGATTGCTTCAAGTACAAAAGTTGCAAGCACACACAAGTTACTTGCTTGGAATCTCCTCCTGAATTTTTGAGATGTACAGCAAACAACGTAGTGATGGCAGGGACCACCACCAGCAAATTCTCAGGTCTGAGATGTTTATTGAACCAAAAACCAAAACTGCTCCTCCCCAGAGCAAGGAGAGGAAAGCAGTGGAAGCCCCACCATCCCACAGACCACGTGCTCTGCTGCAGCTCATAAACATGAAGTGAGAAGGTAACAGCACAGGGAAAAAAAAACCACTTCATACTTTCAGAAGTCAAACCAAGCCTTTATCAGCTGTAAGAATATTTTTAGCCTCTTACTAGGCTCCCAAGTGTTTGTGTTTCATCAAAGGGAGCAAAGTTGTGACTGAGGAAAACCAAAATAATTTATCCTACTGGCATGATTTGAGCTGAAGTGGCTCAGAACAGATACAGAGCTTTACTCCTATGCAAACACGACCACAATGCACATCAATTCATTTTCTGACCTGTTACCTCTAAGCTCAGCAAGAAACACAAGGTGCAGTTTTTAACTTGTTTTTCCATGGAAGGAACTGTGATGGTAGAGAAAAGAAAAAGCCTTGGATGGAAGGACTGGCAGTACTTTGGAAAGGCCATCTCTCACCTCCTGGACACACCAGGAATGTGCACACATTTTAAATCCATGGAGGAAGCAGGGGTGAAGATGACTCTTCCACTTTGTGCATATCTGTGTCGTTTTAAAGCAGAAGTGAGGATACAGCTCTATTTGCTTCCTTTTCTTTCAATACTGAGGAAGGCTTTAAAGCCACAGATTGCTTCATTATTCAAGTTGTGTTTAGCAAATCAGTATTTAGTTACAGAGCTCTGAACATGGAAAAAGGATGGCCTGAATTATGCATGGTAACCCACATTAGAAGCTCCTACAAGGCCAGGACTGAGCAGCAGCTCAGCTCCACCTGCTCATCTCCATGTGCTCATTTCAAATCCCAGCTCTGGCAGCACAAATTCCCAACAGACAATCCTAATAGACTTCTTGAGGATGGTGCCTCACAACGACAAAGCCAAAGTTATTTATTTTTAATGCTGTTCCCCCTGCCTGCAGCAGCCATCCCGCATGCCTTTGGGGCTCTCTGAGCAGTCTGGGGGTACACAAGGTGGGCCAGTATCAACTAAACCTTTTCAGTTTTCAACAGTGGAGTGCCTAAATCCCAGTTTCACAAATCCCTGAACTGACAGAAAAGCTTCCTGTCCGTCCTGACGACATTTTTAATTAAGGATTTGGAATCCCAAAGACACAGCTCAGGAGCCTGTAGCCAACCTCCGAATTACATCTCCACTGCCAGGGAAGGTCTAGACTGGATACTGGGAAAAACTTATCCATGGAAAAGGTTGTCCAGCCCTGGAATAGGCTGTCCAGGGCAGTGGCAGAGTCACCACCCCTGCCTGGAGGGATTTAAAACATTTGTAGATGTGGCACTCGGGGACATGGGTTAGTGGTAGCCTTGGGAGTGGTTGGACTTGATGAGCTTAGAGGGCTTTTCCAACCTAAACCATTCACTGGTTACATTCCAGAAAAGCTTCCAGCAGGTTCTAAGATGAGTTCCAGATGGAAAAAATCTGTTGCCAGCTGCAAATAGCACTTGGATACTGGCACAAGAGTCCCAACATGCTGGTGTGACCCCAGGATACCTGGCCTGGCAGCCTGACAAAAACCAACAAAAGTGTGTCCTGCAGGAAAACTGCAGGTTTGGGCAATATTGCTGGAAACTACCATCAGTTCCAAAATGTGCTCTCACACCACCAGTGTAAACCTCTATCAAGCACCTTTTGTAAAAGCAGAGTAATTGATACAGGAGGAAAGGTAATCCTCTGCCAAGGACACAGGCCATGGAGATGAGTTGTTTTCACTGAGAGTTAAAATGAGGAAAACCAACTAAAATTTTTAACACCACTTCTTATTCAAGCCTGTTTTCACAGCCTGTCTAATGGGGGAGGAATAGGCAAAAAAGCTTCTTTACTCACACCTTCCAGCTTGTCACATTAAAAATTCCTCATTCCCTATGGTGCATCCATGAAGGCTTAATGAGGTGTGGTTTGCAGAAACTATGGGGGACCACAAAAGGTCTCCTCTCCACACAAGCTGAAGACAGAAGGTGGGGACCAGGTCAGCTGCAGCCAGGCCACATGCCCACGAGGATGAGACACACACAAACCGCCCCAGCTCTGACACAGGTTCTTTAGCCTGGCTGGCTAAAAATTCCCTCCATCTGCAGCAGAGCTGCCTCATTAAGGAGCCTGAACCTGACAAGGAATTATAAATAACAATGTGATTATCATAACAATACCAACTGCACCGTAATAATGATGCTGTGGAAAACCAGTACCTCAAAATACCCACACAAGAGTGAGCAGGATGAAACAACCTCATCAAGGGCTCAGGTGGAACCTCCTTGTGTTTACAGGACCTTTTTTCCCCGTTGCCAGCAAACACTGAAGTGCTAACTCAAAACATGGGGAGTAATTGCCACCACCACTTCCATCTACACCTTGGCCATGACCACATCAGAGGGTTAAACAAGTATTTGGGGTGCAGGGTTACAACCCTGCCTATCAAGACCTGTTCTTCTCAGATCAGCTGGGCATAAAGAGCAAACGTGGGAGCATCAACCTTTTTGGTTAAAGAGCAAGAAAATCAGCCATTAAATCATCAGCTGATTAGAATCTTAGAATCATGGAATTATCTGGCTTGGGAGGGACCTTAGAGCCCATCCAGTGCCATCCCATGCCATGGGCAGGGACACCTTCCACTGTCCCAGGCTTGGGCACTGCCAGGGATCCAGGGGCAGCCACAGCTGCTCTGGGCACCCTGTGCCAGGGCCTGCCCACCCTACCAGGGAACAATTCCTAATTCCCAATATCCCATCCGTCCCTGCCCTCTGGCAGTGGAAGCCATTCCGTGGCCTGTCTCTCCATATCTTGTCCCCAGTCTCTCTCCAGCTCTCCTGGAGCCCCTTTAGGCCCTGGCAAGGGCTCTGAGCTCTCCCTGGAGCCTTCTCCTCTCCAGGTGAGCACCCCCAGCTCTCCCAGCCTGGCTCCAGCCCTTGGAGCATCTCCAAGTCCTCCTCTGGACCTGCTCTAACAGCTCCACATCTTTCCCATGCTGAGGACAAGGCCCAGGTGTGGGTCTCCTTGCAAGCAGAAACGGTTAATTCTCACAATTAACACTGATGAGACAAAACCACATCCACTTAAACCAGTAAAAAACCACCTCCCTTATCCGTTTGTTCATCTTGAAACTCCTCCTGAAGTACTTTGAAACCCAACCAAAGCAAAGAAAAGCTAAGCCTTCCGAAACCAAACTGCGCCCTGCTCGTGTTTGTGCTTTTACTCTCTAAGCTTTGCTGCCAGGGCAACAGTCACTATAGAAATCAGTCAAATAATAAGCTAATTCAGCAACTCGTCACCGGGAGCCAGGAAATCCTTTCAGAGCCAGTGGTGTGCTCCACTTGCAACCCTCAGCATCCTTCCAGACAGCCCAGAAAAGTTGAGAGGATTTGACCCACAGTGAAAAAAAGAGGGTCTAAATGAGAGAGGCTCATAAGCAGAGCTGGAAGGTACAATAATGGTGGTTTGGCCCTTGGAAACCAAACTCTGAGGTTCACACTGGTAATGTGTGCACACAACAAGCAGAGAAACCCAGCTGCTGTAAGGACTGAAGACTGAATACTTTATTACCCAGCCCACCAGTGAATTCCCCATGAATGATGAGCAGGAGTCACACAGACACCGAGTACCCCGAATAAAAGCTGGGAGCTCTTGTCCTGTGTTTTTGGAGCACAAAACAAACTGTTCACAGCAGCAGGAGCTGAGTCACTGCTACAGTCACCTCTTCTCCAGGCATTTCATCATGGCCAACAATAACACTCTGACACCTCAATAACTGGACATCCTGTACTTGACAAGCACCTCTGCACACAATTTGCAAGGGAAGGGAGCTGCCTGCCACAAATTATGTGCTGGATAGCCCTAACAAGCTCTCAAGCAGTGTTTCCCTCC